GACAAAGTGATGATTGAATGGGTCAGACAGCATTGCAGCGAAGGCGTGTCATTGACGGTTCCAATGCTAATGGCTCAAGCCAAAATATTTCATGAAGAAATGAACTTGAAACACTGAGTGCACATACTTGACAGGTTGGTTAATCAAATTTAAAAATCGCCATGGTAAAAAAGCTTCAGCTGATACTGAAGCTGCTGAACAATTTGCAGATGAATTCATTGAACTCATTACTAGTGAACAATTATCTCCAGAACAAATTTACAACACTGATGAAACTGGGCTTTTCTGGCAATATGTACCACGAAATACCTTAGCAACTTCTACAGAAAAGGCGCCTGGTGTCAAAGATTCCAAAGTGAGACTAACAATTTTAGTGTGCACAAGTGCAAACTTTTCGTAATCGTAAAATATGCGCAACCTCGAGCATTTAAAGGAGTAACGATTTTCCCCGTTATATATCGTGCAAATAAAAGAGCATGGATTACACAAGCGTCGATGAATGATTGGTTTGAAAATCATTTTATAAACGAGGCTCGGCGACATTTGAATTCGGTTGGTTTACCTGATGATTCAAAAATTGTCCTGATTGTTGACAATTGTTTGGCGCATACTTCACATAAAGTTTTAGTGAAAGATAATATATCCATATTATTCTTCCCTCCAAATTGCACGTCTATCATTCAGCCTATGGATATGGGAATAGTGCACCCACTGAAATGCAAATACAGTCAAAAGTCTTTAATCCGGACTCGTCGGGACTTCGGTGATTCCGAATTATCGATTTTTCTGGATTATAGATAATCAGTTTAAATCTGGTAAGATGGCATGCAGAAATTATAAAATTAAAAATATGAAACCGCAATTTATAAAATAATGAGCAATTATGATCTAAAGGGTATCAAAATTTACAAAAAAAAACTTAATATTTATTTGTTTACTTTATTAAACATTTCTTTCAACGCGCGCATGCGTAAAGTATACATTATGCATAGCTGAAATTAGAAAATTGCAACCAGAAAACTATTTGATTTGTATTCGTGATATTTAGCCGGATCCAATTCGAAGATTAAGGAACAATGCAATCATCAACATTAACTGAAATAGATAATTAGATAATTTTAGCTTACACCGTCCGTTATACATTAAACGCGCAGGCAAAAACGTATTCTGCACTTGCGCAGACGCAAATGTGCAGTCGTAAGGGTCTTATGCGCACGCTTAAACGCCTATGCGCATGCGTCAACACGGTGCATGCGCAGAAAGTTTTTAGCTTTGAGGTCCGGATTATGGGTGTCCGAATTAACGACTTTTGACTGTATAAAGTAGCATTTTTAAAACCTATGTTAAATTTCTTGAACAATGGCAAGACTATTCAAGACTTTTTGAAATATTTTAGCATAAAATCTGCTGTGTGTAGCATCGCAAAATCATGGAAGGATGTGTCTCCAGATATGTTAAAAAAAATATGCTTGGCATAATTTATGGCCAGCTGCCATATTTCATGGTGAGGATGATGAAGATGATAGCCGCGAATTTGAATGTTTTCGGACAGATATTGCAAACTAAAGGTGAAATTTTCCAGCTAATGGATTATGTAAAGAAATGTGGAGAAGCGGTAATAAATGATGATGATATAACAGAAGTTTTTCATTGCGATGACAATGCCGCAATCGCCAATCAATTAACAGACGGTGAGTCTTTAGTATCCTAGATCCAAAAATACCGCTTCCAATAGTGAAGAAAGTGACAGAGAGGTTATGAAAATGAAAAAATTTCGATGACAAGTTAGTTTGGTATTCTCGACACAGCAATACAGGACTTGAACGTGGAACTTTGAACTGAACAAGAAATTATGTCTGTTTATAGAATTAAAGAAAAATTAACAAAAAACGAAGCAACTTAAACAACTCCATTTAAAGAATGTTTAATAAAGTAAACAAAAATTAGTAAGCTTTTTTATTTATTATTTTTGGGGGGGGGGGAATTTTTGATACTCTTTAAGTCATGATTGCTCTTTATTTCATAAATTACGGTTTCATATTTTTAATTGTATAATTTTTGCATTCCATCTTACCAGATTTAAATTGATGATGATTTGGAATCGCCAAAGTCCTGACGAGTCCGGATTACGGACTTTGTACTGTATATATATTTTTTTTTTTACGTATATATGTTTTTGAATATAATTGAAATTGAAAAGCTAATAAGTTCTGTGCTGTAAGACATATTTGGTCTTAAAAATGTTTTGCGCAATATGCTGCAAAAATTATGAAATAATAGGAAGAAAAATCGTAGTGAGCTCGCCAAAAAGTTACCAGGAGCTGTGGCTCCAAGAAATAGTTCAACGCAGTATTTTTTAAAATAATGACATTGAAGGGTGAAAAATTAGTTTACATGTGAAATAAAATGCAAATATAAAAAACTGTTAAAATCAATCGTGGAAACATGTGAATGGCAAAAAATACAGAAAAAAACCTATTGATGTGATAAGTGAAAAGTTAACACATATAAAAAACTGATCGATGGAACAAGTTAAAACAAAATTAAAACATATGAAAAACATAAAATTACAAAAATTATAAAAATTACAAAGCAGAAAATGGTAAATTAGCCTAATTCGACTTCCAACCTGGCTTTTCAAGGGAAATTTCAGTTGGATGTCAAACCAATCCAACACTGTTACGTGTTTCGCTGAAACAGACAACTGAAGCTCTTGTGTGACGAAAAAATTTTTAAATAATATGAATTGTCCCAAAAAATATTTTGGAGCTTCAATTCTCTGTTCCAATTTCCCGACGCGTCCGCAAAAAATGACACATTAAGGTGTAAAACAAATGTAAATGCAACTCCAGGTATAGCTAAAATTAAAATAAAAATAAAATAAATAGCGGTCTGCCATTAGTCAAACTATACAATAACGTACGGGCTGGACCTGCAAGCTTAAAGAATTAAACCTTTATAAATTTTATAGTTCTGAAATTAAATTCAAATTTTATAGTTCTGAAATTAAATTCAAATGAAAACAAACGCCGTAGGTCTTGGTAAGACCAAGAAAAAAATATTTTAAGAGAATACAAAAAAAGAAACATAAAAAAACAACCTGTGGCTATACTTCCTTACCGCGAAGCAAATTGAAAGGGGTTGTAATCCCCTCTGTGTCTTTCAAAGCATCCTCTCGTCTTGTGAGTAGGCGGGTGAACAATGTCATGCGTAGCAGCCAATGCGATTAGATTGTCCTTTAGCGGGAACCCGTACCCCCCCCGAGTTAAAGAGGGGTTGAAAGACTCGAAAAGACATGGAAAGATTCAAAATGGCGTCAGTCAAGTTGTTAGAAGAATAAAACTGTTTCTAAATGTGAAAATGGCTAATTCAGCAAAGATTACTCAACATAGCCACAAAAGTAAGAGTAAAATGGAAAAAAGTCATTTGTTAATAAAAGTCATAATTCTTCAAGCTAGAGGGCGATCAAGCTACAATGAAAAATGAAAAGGCCCGATTTGTTAATAAAAGTAGAATTGGCCATCAAAGTAATTTAAAACTATTGAAACAATAGTACTAAAGTATTGTGCCAAAATTTTGGAGGAAAGAAAATGTAGTAGTGACAGAATTATCTGTACATTTTTACATTAGATTCTCTGAATATCCATCCACTTTATACCGTTCCATTGGGCTTTAAGTATAAAATTTCATTATCTAACTCAAATATTTAAAATTGTAAGGCTAAGGCCAATTTTTTAAGGTATTTTAATTATTTTATGAGAAATTTTTCAAAATTGTCACAAAGTAAAGTATTTCTTCTTGAAGGTGTTCTGTGGTATTGCATATTCTTTTTATTCTAAGTAGCTGTGAATAAATTGTGTTTAAGAGGATTCTTTTGCAATATTTTTAATTCCAGTTGGTTAACTTAGTGTAGAAAAGTGAATTCCTCTCTCTTGTCGTAAACTTTTATAAATTGTAATCATAATATGTAAGTCAAGGTATAGACTCATATTTTGCACCGTATTTGTATTATTTAGTTTTTTAAGCAAGTGGGGTAGATATTAGCAACTTCTATTTTGTTGTGGTTTTAAAGGCTATATCATCAATATAATGATATTGTGTTGGAAAAATTTATGTTCTTTACTGAGTGAACGGACAAAGGTCAGTTCTTTTGTAAAAAGGAATAATTCACATACAGAACTGGAAAAATTACCTCCGTTGGAATTCCTTGAATTTGTTTAAGATGCTATTGTTGAATTGAATAAAATATTGAAAAGCACGCTTGAGAGAAAAAGTTGCCATTTTTCAGCAACTTAATATTGTAGAAATTTGGCGGAAACAATTTAGGAAGAGCAAGTAAACCTTGTATAAATTTCTTCAAGTGGCAAAGTAGTATAGAGGTTTTCGAAGTCGTAGCATTGGATATGTTCTATTTTAAGTGAATTTATAGTTTTTAGAATTTAGCTCGTTACTTGAAATCATCCAGTTGCAATGTAGATCCTTAAAATCATAGTTATTTAATGAAGTCACGTATTAAGCGAAGTTTTTGTGCCAAAAAGATAATCTATTTCCTTTAAGATAACTTTTGGTACTATTGGCAATGAACCTGAATTTAATAGGAGACTTATGAAATTTTGGTAGTGCATAGAGATTTGGCAAATCTGTTATTATATTTCCGGGGATGTATTTTTAGTCTTTTCAATGTAGTGCGTTAAATTTATTGAGAAGAATTTTAGTGCTGGTAAGTAATTTTTTGGTAAGTGCAATTGTTATTTAATTCATTATTGCAGAAGGTTGAAGTAAAACTTTTTCAAATAACACTAAAATTGTTGCTGGCTTTGTCAATTTTTGTAATGATAAGTTATCTTGCAGTTTTTGAATAATATATATAGTATATAATGTATATTATTGTTTGTTTTTAAAATTCTGATTTCATTAAAATAAAAATTCTTCAATGGTAAAAATTAAAGTAAGTTTTTAAATATATTATTGATTAATTATGAACTTTTATTTTGCCATAGGTTTGCAGAATGTTGCGTAAACGAACTGGACAGAAATTTGAAGAGCAAGAAAATAATCATGTGTCTGATATTAAAGCAAAAAATAAAGTAAAACCTAACAGATTATTTTGGAAGCTGTTGTTAGTTATAATTTTTGTTGTGTACATTATTATTCCATTCTTGGTATATTTGAGTCCTGCTGTTAGACGCCATGCCGTTTTCCTAAACTATGTGAGTTTATCCCGTCAAAAGAATTTGTCATTGCCTTCTGAAAGTGGATTAAAATGTACGAGAAATTTTTATGTTTCTTCAGAAGATAATATAAAATTAGGGGTATGGCATATACCAGCCCATTCCTCTTTATTAAAGTGCAAAGATGGGCATATACCTGTAGGTGAAGAATTTAATGATGAACAACCTATTTTCTTGTATCTACATGGAAATGCTGGCACTAGATCCGGGGGTCATAGAGTAGAACTATACAAAGTATTAAGTGAGAAGCTCAATTCACATGTTGTTGCTTTTGATTACCGTGGATTTGGTGATTCAACTAATGAATCTCCAAGTGAGCCAGGCCTTGTCAAAGATACAGAGAGTTTGTACAACTGGTTGAGAAAAAGAGCAAAATCATCTCGCATTTACATTTGGGGTCATTCTTTGGGAACTGGTGTGAGTGTTGCATTTTTAAACACCTTATCATCATCCAAAAACCAACCAGGTGGTCTGATACTTGAAGCTCCATTTACAAGGATAATTGATGCTGCCCGACATCATCCTCTTTCCATTTTTCATCGATATATGCCGTTCTTTGAAACTTTAATTGCAGAACCTATTGGAGATAAAGATACAGCCTTTGATAGCATAAACAGAATTGGCAATGTAAAATGTCCCATACTTATTCTTCATGCAGAAGATGATGGGTTTGTGCCTTTTTTTCAGGGTAAGGAACTTTATGAAAGGGCTTTAGCAACTCGGAAAAGCTCTGATCATATCACAAAGTTTGTTGGTTTTGATCGTAAATTGGATCTTGGACACAAACATATTTTTCAAAATCCAGATCTGCCAATTATAATTAAAGAATTTATTGACAGTGTACAGCAGAAGTCCAAGAGAGTTTAAATGTATTCTTTATATATTTGTATTTTTGTACTATTACTAACATTCCATGAATTTTAATGTGATTATGTTTTATTTATAATTTTTCTTAATTTCTTGTTACATTATATTTTCGAATTTGTTTTCATGAGATACATGACGTAAATCATAATTCTCCATATCTAGTAATTGAACTTTCTAAACTGTATACTAAGGCGTAATGAACCACAATAATTTATAAATTTCGTGTATTTTTTAAATAAAATACATTGCATGATAAAAAGATATTGTGCATTATATAGTAAAAAGGATATTTTTCACAGACTACATTATAACTATGTCACCAGACACAAACAGTATGTCTAGAAGCTGCAAGAAAAATGTTCTTGAAGTTCTAAACTTTAACCAACTCTTTTTTTTTTTTTTTTTTTAAATTTTATCAAAGATATTCACTGTTAGTTTATTTCAATATATTACCATGGTTTTATGATTTTGTTTACATATTTACATTTTTTATTTATTTGTCGTTAAATGTTATATTTATTATTTGTGTATTTTATTTAGGTAATAACATATGCAATTGTAATAAGTTGAATATTAATTTCTTGTTTTAGTAGTTCTATACAAAGAGACTTTGTAGGAGTTTTTTTTTTTTTTTTTTCCCAGATTGTATTTATAACAATCTTTTGATCTGTTAGTAAATAAAATATTTATCTATGTGCTTTGAATGCATTGAGGCTTGTTGATTATGTTTAAGATATTTACCACTCTTGAAAATTTTCTTTATGATTCTTAGTTATCTATGCACAATTTCCTTTTATGCGTTAGTATATTTAGAATTGTAATAGTTTTGATATAACATAAAATGCACAAAAGGTAAATAAAGCCATTATGTAGTCGAATTTCAATCAGATGGAATTAATTTTGTCACAGCATTTTCCTAGAATAACATCCTATATCATAAAGTACATTTTTTTAGAAATAATTTGTGTTTTGTTTCATATATCATTTTTAACAAGTATCTTAACATTGAAATTTCTTTCTAATACTAATATTTTTCTAGCTCCATGGCAGTATTCCAGTCTTAAGTTTAATAATATCTCATTTGGCTTTTTTCAATGTCCCGCATTGAGTAATTAGGACTGCTGAAGGTTGATAGTTCAATCTGGATTTGAACTTAAGTGAACATGCTAGCTGCATATTTGATTTTCGCCATGTAGAATGTGACCACAAGCCTGTTTTCATTAGAAAGTCCTCTCCAAAGACATCTCCCCCTTAATAGCAAAAGGTCCTCTTGTGGTTTGTCCTTTTGATTCTCATGTACATATTCATTTTTTAAAAAATTTCTATTAATGAAATATTCATAAAATATTTTTTACCTGAATTTTGATTTAAATCTCTTTTTACATAAGATCTTATATAGAAATTTGTAAAGAAATTTTGGGGAATCTTTCTCATTTATTCATAAATTGGGCAGACATGAATAAAAATTGAAAATTGTGAATCTCCTTTCCTTTCCCAAAATGTTTACAATTTATTCACCGAAACCCGAAGAAAATTTTTGTCTATTGGTCGTTGATTATGCTTATATGATCTTAATGGTACCTGTTTTTTGCACAAGTTCTTTCTTTTTATATTAGTGAAAAAGAAAATTAAATATAGCATGGATAAGTAATATTTTAATAATATTTTTAATACTTTTTGGATGAAAATGTTAAATTTCTTTTCATTTTAGTTCTTTAAAACAATATAAACAATATACAAAAAATACAAAACTAATAAATATGAAATAGATTTTTATCTCGGAGAGGAAAAATTTCTATTTTCAATCTCTGTTCATCTCTTTAGTATATATATGTAGCATTTACATGAATTCTTTTAATCATTTATAAAATACATTCATGCATAAATAAAGAATTAGAATCTTTTTTAGAAAAATAAGTAAAATGTTATATCATTACATTATTTTGAAAGAGCTAAAATATTAAACACATTTTAAATTAAATTGTTTTTTAAAAGTATACTATACTCTTGTATTTAGAAGTTTCTTTTTAAATTGTCTTTGAGTGGCAAATGAATTGTTTACTATCAAAATAAACTTTTCAAAATCTGTAAGAGCTTTCTTTTGAACGGTGATAGGAGTAGAATTTGTTTTTATCAACTAAAGGCCATTTTTATTTAATAGTTGAATAGTGATTGTTGAGATTTCACTTGTTATATATGCTATTAATGAAATAGATAGTCTATATTAATAAATAGCATACTTAGTAATTTTTTATCCTAAAGTGCTTATACTGGAAATGCTATTTCTTATGATTTTTAGAAATTCTGCAATGATTAGCAAATTAAAAGTTATTAGCTTTGATTAAATTCCTCTTTTTATTTGAAAGGCTTTACAGTGTAACAGATAGTAAACAGTTTTCAAAAGTTGTTTCAAAGCATATTTGAATTTTAGGTAGAAATTAATGATAGCAAACTTTTTTGTGATTCCCACTTTTCTCCCTTTTTATGCTTTACCTTTGTGATGTGAGAGAATCAGCTTTATAATTGATCTTAAGTTTTCCCTTGGCCTAAAATAATCATGTCTATTGAAATTCTTGGGATTTTTAAAAATTTCTGCAACGTAACTGATGATTCTAAGATACCAGTTGCCTTTTCTTATCAAAACCTGAGCTGTTTACTTATCAACAAATTTATATTTTATGATTTGACTTCAAGATTTTCTGCCATAACTGGTTACTTAATGATTTAATTTAATGATGTCTTGACCATTTTCAGTAAATGGGTAGAGTAATTGCACTTTTTGGGGGGGGCTACGCTCATTTTATTTTTTATCATATTTTTATCTAAGAGATATACAGAGGCAGATTTATAGGGTTTCATTAGTCACAATTATGATATGTCCAATGTCCAAAAGGTCTGCCAAATAATTAATATTGAAAAAAGTAGTTAACATAGCCTTTGTCTTAGGATAATGGGCCTCTGGAAGTTCAGGTGATGTGGGCTTCCAACTTTGCAAATCCACCATGGGATATATATCAAAGTATTTTTCAGAAGTTTGATAGAAATTTTAAAATATGGAGGAAGTCTCAATAGAAATAATCAATTAGACGAAGGGCTAAAGTGTAAGACAACTGTTACAGATGCAATTTTACTCACAGCATCAAGAAAGTTTTTTAAAAAAAAGTGGGATAACTAAAACAGTTTTAAATTTTGTAGACTACTGATAGGTAATAAATATATCTATCAAAATATCATCTTTTGATAACCTGCATATATATATATTTGAGTGTTTTAAAATAATATGTATAACTATTCCAAAATATTAAAAATTTACCAGCGAACAGAATCTAAAATTAACCCGTATGATACTAATGTATATTCTGATGATGACATCTAGATCAATCACTCTTGAACAGCCAGTTTTCTATATTTAAATGATCAAACACCATGTGCTGAATCTTTTGTGATATTATTTCACATTGCTATTATTAGTGAAATATATTCTGTTACATGCTAAAATTGATTTTATGTGATTTATTCTTTACCTCCTTAATTATTAAGCAGAAATTGATATCTTGTAATAATTTAATGTTAATTATATTTTTGCATATACATGCAAATACCTAGTTTTATGAATATGTATTAGGATACTATGCATATTTGTTCTTTTCTATAGTTTTATTTTTATGATATAGAAGTATTATAAGTATTTTAAAGTTTGCTTCTGTGATAAATCTTATTTGGTATGAAATGCTTATGGAAAATTTAAATTTTCTCTGAATTATGTATGTGAGATTGTTATGCTTATTGCGGAGATTAATTTTTAAATTCTTTTTCAGCTAATTTAAGCCATATATGTTATTTAAGGATACTTAACAAAATATTTAGCTAGACCAAAATTGCAAGTAATAGAAGTCTGCAAATTGAGTTGAACTGTGAAGTATACAGACTTCAGTTTCTGTATCATTGACTTTAACCTAAAGAAAAATTAATAAAATGCATAAGTTATTAATTACTAATAAAATAAATTGACATATGGTCAGTTTGAGACCAAATCGTCTAAATAAGGGTGCGTCTTTATGTGCCGTCAAATACGGTATATCAATAATGTTAAAAATCTCAAACAATTGCAGGCCATTCCTGAAGAACAACTTTCTGAATTAGAAAAGGAGTGAATTATAACAATAATTGATATTAACTGTTTGTTAAGATTGTAAATTAATATCTTGAGTTAGCAATCATTGGGATAAAGTCTTTCAGTCTGTTTTAATGTGTGTGGTAGTTCTGAAGTCAAGAATCAAAGTAAATTGAGCTTGAAACTATATTGTTTAGATCTCATTTACAAAGTTTGCAGTCAGTCAAAATTAAAAGCTGATGAAAAATATCCAGTCATTCTGACTTGAACCATTTGCTTTACAGTATTATATGACATTATATCAAGGCAAACATAAGAAACATAAAATTGGCTTGTGGTGCAATCAAACTAGGCAAAAAAAGCGTGGGTAGACTCTTGATTCATTTATTGCAATTTTTTTTTCCCAGAATGCATTTTTCTCCTTCCACTGTCTGTTATTCTTGGCTTGAGTTTTGATTAATATTTTCCTCCTGTCTATTCATTATTCTTCTTTCTTGAACAATTGAAAAAAAAAAAAAAAAACTATATAATATTTTCAAAAAGAACCCTTTGCTCTCAGTAACATTAAGAGCTTGTAAATTTTATGTGAAAACTATAAGATTTACTGTGAAATAGTATGCGATAAGATATATTGTGAAAAGCATACAGTGTTACTTTTTGTATGTCTTATGTTTTCAAAAGATATCACACAATTTGAGACTGTTAATTTTATGATTGTTTTTCCCAAAGGTCCAGAAATTCCATTTAAAATGGCATTTCTTCACAAATTAAAATCTACTTTATTAATGCGTAACTTAACTTTAGGCAAAATTTATTTCAGTTCACCTATGAATCATGCACAAAATCATATTTCGTAAAGGCTTCAAAGGCTTTTCTTCTTACGTTTTTATTATATTTCAAAATTTGTGAATGATAATTAGTATCCATTATTAGCTGAAAATCAAACATGTAACCTAAATGATTACATGTGCGTGGCTTTAAGTGCATAAATACTTTTATTGCTGATTGTTATACAATGACTGATTGGATGTTATTGAGATTATAAGAAATGATTTCTCTATGAGTATCGATTAATAATAGTAAGTGTTCTAGACTCATTTCATTTTGTGTAATAAGTTTTCATTCATACAAGACTGATAGATGTAAAATATATCCTATTGATTCCTTTATCAAATAAATTCCATTACCAACTTCTGAAATATTTGTAAAAATTCCCCTTTTATTTTTATCTCCACCTTCCAAAGGAAATGAATAAAGCTATATACAAAGTGAATATTTTTTTGGTCTGTTCAAAAGATAAAAAGCAACCAAAATTTATAAGAGATGAAAGAAAGTTTATATGAATTAAATATTTTAGTATTTTAATGTGTAAAGTTTTAATTTCTACTGATCATCGTTAATTAAAACCCCATTTATTTACTGAGAGTAGATGCTTCTGAAATAAAGTCTTTTGAGTGTAAGAATTTGTTAATGTGAAAGATTTTATATTTTCCTTATTTATGGAGGTGGAATGATCAATCACTGAATAACTAACTACCCATGATATCTACTTAATAAAAAATAATACCTGCAAACTTGAGAATTGAAATTTTTTGATGAATTACTTAAAATAATTTTTGTTCTATTAAACTTTGAAAAATGGTATATTTTTATCCCAGAGTAAATGCATAATTTCCAAAAGGGAATAAATTCTCTTTTTTTTAATTAAAATTTTAAATATGAAAGATTGAATTAAAATTATTGATATGACCTGTTTAAATTTTATTTTAAAACTGAGTAATTTTTGGCAGTATATATAAATATTTTAACTATGCTAAATAGATAATTTATAGTCAATCATTAGGGTTTCAAAATGCAGATGCAACCTGATTTTGCAGCCCTGATTATGCTCAGTTTTAATCTTTTCAGATATTGTGCAAGTTGAGAATAATAGAAAAGCATACTGTATAGCTGTGCAATAAATTCTTCTGTAATAAACTATACTGTAAAAGATATCTGTAATAAACTATTTTTATTGCTTCATATTGATGCCATAAAATATATTGTTCTGAGCTATGGATATCTAAATATTTGTAGTTGTTGGAATTCTATTCTTGTACTATCAATGTCAGTATTACATACTGTTTTTAAATATTCAAAACATATTTATCTTGAACAAAACTGAATGTTTCAAATTGAATGCTAGTTCTGTTTAAAAATATGTATTAAAATGGCTCACACTTTGTAAAATGAGTGGTTTAGACTGTTTAATTATATTAGAGACTTTATTAGTATTGGCGTTTTCTATATTTTTAACACGTTACATATATTATAGTTACACATTACATATATATAAATTAATGTATTGTAAATTTATTTATGTATCACTTGAATATGTTTTGTATTTTTGGTTATTAAAATATTATAGTCAATTTTCAATAAGTGGTAATGTGTTTTATTTTTCACTATGTGCATATTTCATTCTTTGAGGTTAACATAAATCTTTCAGCTTTGATTCCCAATAGGTAAGAAATGCATGACATAAAGCAATTTTGTTGTTTTTTTATTAAAGCCTCATCTTGGATGATTTTTTTCTCTGCTTGATGCAATCTCAGATTTTGCTCTGCAGT